TTAACGCGGGGTAACATTTCAGGGTAAGCCAATCAGAGACAGAGTTGGGCGGGTCTTGCCTTATGGGGAAAATACACAGACACACAAACACTTGCTAACACACACACACATACACGTCAACGCCCGCAAAAACACACACACACACACACACACACACACGCACACACACACACACACACACACACACACACACACACACACACACGCACACACACACACACACACACACACACACACACGCACACACACACACACACACACACACACACACACACACACACACACACACAGACACACGCAGGCACGCACATGCACGCACACGCACACACACACACGCACACACACACAAACACACGCACACACACGCGTTTATGAACATGTGTTGTAACCCATGTCTGGATCGTTAGTATTCATATATATTAGTATTAGTATATATATATATGTATATATGTGTGTATATATGTATGTATATATGTGTGTATATATGTATGTATATATGTATGTATATATGTATGTATATATGTATGTATATATGTATGTATATATGTATGTATATATGTGTGTATATATGTATGTATATATGTATGTATATATGTATGTATATATGTATGTATATATGTATGTATATATGTGTGTATATATGTATGTATATATGTATGTATATATGTATGTATATATGTATGTATATATGTGTGTATATATGTATGTATATATGTATGTATATATGTATGTATATATGTGTGTATATATGTATGTATATATGTGTGTATATATGTATGTATATATGTATGTATATTTGTATGTATATATATATATATATATATATATGTGTACCCTGGTCGCAGTGCACGCCATACTTCCCGGCGCTGCAGGTCTCGCAGGCGGTGCCTCTGAAGCCCGGGTTGCAGCTGCAGTTTCCGGCGCCGCTGGCTCCGTCCGAGCAGAACCCGTTAGAGGAGCAGGACTGACCCGCTGGACCCGGGCAGGACTCACAGTGAGGCCCGAAGAACCCGGAGCAGCAGCGCCGCACCTGGCCAGCAGGGGGGGAACAGTACTCTATATATCATCTTTATCATTTCTATTTTATAATATTTGTTATTTTTATCATTTTTATTTTTTTTATTATTTATCTATAGTATTTATAATTGATGGTATTTCTGATATGTCTCACCCTGTTCTCCTGCAGGCAGGTGGCTCTGCAGCCGATGGTCAGCAACCGCTCGCCCTCGAACATGCGGGTGAACATGCACTTCCTGGTGCGCATCGACAGCTGCAGGAAGCAGGAAGTGCATCACGGTTAACATCACATATCTCTTTCCTGCGACTGAAAGTGATGAAATGTGTTATTCCTCACGTCTGGGCGCGTGGCGTTGGGGCAGATCTTCCCCTGAGGGAACAGGCAGTCCACGCAGCTCCCCTGCAGAGGACAGGAAGTCATGCGTGTTTAGATATTATATATGAATAATAATGATGCAGTTTGATGTGAGAGGTCTTACGGGGGATCTGGTGAAGGAGGCGTCGTCGCAGCGGTTCCTGTTGATGATCATAACGGCCGACACGCCGTGAATCACCCCGTTAGAGCTCAGGAGGTTAGAGGAGTCCAGCTGGGCCTCGTTAACAAACAGCTGCAGGACACAGGAAGTGACTCATCACAGGAAGTGAGTCATTACAGGAAGTGACTCATTACAGGAAGTAACTCATCACAGGGTTCAGAACTCATAATGCTGACTCAGGATCATAGAGTGTGATATTGATCATAGTGTGATATTGATCATAGAGTGTGATATTGATCAGTGTGATATTGATCAGAGAGTGTGATATTGATCAGAGTGTGATATTGATCAGAGAGTGTGATATTGATTATAGAGTGTGATATTGATCAGTGTGATATTGATCAGAGTGTGATATTGATCATAGAGTGTGATATTGATCAGAGAGTGTGATATTGATCAGAGAGTGATATGTCTCACCTCCCCCTCCCTGGGGCTGAACCTCAGCTGGAAGCTCTCTCCCAGCATGGAGGCTCTGAACCCTCCGGGCTGCAGCTCGGTCCTCAGGAGACGCTCTGACAGAACCACGTGGTACCGGGTCGTATTCACATCCTGTTTTCAGAATAAAAGCGTTTTCACTGACACTGAAACACAGCCATGTTTATTCACTGCAGCCGATCAGGAATGAGTACCGTACCAGAGCGGTGGCAGCCATCTTGGTGAGGTAATCCGTCACGGCGGCGTCTGTCGGAGCGAAGACGGTGAACTCGTCCGCCTGCTCGATCTCCTCAGTCAGGTTGTAGTCCTGCACGCAATCACACACAGTTACAACAATACACCAAAATATATATTGATTATATTGAGATATTACGTACGATGAGGTACGATCTAAAGAGAGAAAACTCCGGACGCAGGGCGAGCGTCTCCAGCAGACCTTCACTCAGCTTCCTGTCGGGAACCAGCACCTGCAGACAGGAAGAAGGGTCATTAGCATCGTTAGCAGCGTTAGCATATATAACATCGTTAGCACCATTAGCATATATAACATCGTTAGCATTGATGTGGTTACAGAATTGTTTCGAAAATTGTTTAATGTTCAAAAAGCTCTTGATTTTTTTCTCATACTGCCTCTTTTCACCCTCTGTCTGAAACCGGAGCGAAGTCTGCTCTGATGTGATTGGTCAACCAGCTTAGAGATGTCCCGCCTCTTAGCCTATCACGTGCAATGTGTTGGAGCGCTAGCCAATAGGAGCGTGAGTGTTACGTAGTGATGTCATTGTG